AGCCACCAAACAAAAGGTTCAACATCAAGTATGAAGTTATTTTAATATTAATTTGCAGAATACATACCGTTTCCTTGTTTGCCTCGTCTTTGTTTTCAACCAACAAGATAAATCTCATGCATGTAGAGCAAAATCCTTTGCACCCTCGGACACAAAAGTAATCGGCATTTCTAAAGCAACTCTTACACAATGAATATGTACAAGTATAGCACATATAATGGGAAGACTTATGGCACACACTACAAATATGCCAACCTGAAAACAAATGTAAATTATTTCTTCAGTTTACAAATCTATGCAAAATTCTTCATATTTCTTCTGTGGGACATGAACTATAGAAACTAAAACAAAAGATAATCTAGCATATACCATTCGAGAAAAGCAAATGAAGGAAAAGGGAAACTTCTAGACAAAAGACTATACGCAGAGGATCTGACAGAACTCATGAATCATCCAATAATAAGTCACCAAAATTTCAAGAGAAGTAGAAGTTGAGGTAGTATTAAGGAGTATATCAAAGAAAGCTGAAAAGTAAACCTAAAGTAGTCCTCTAAACTTGATGTAGACCTCATACGGCACGTGAAGGTGCATCCTTGTATTACTAATTTATTATGGCCTAATTTTTTGGTAAATTAAATATTGCAGAGCAGTGAGCAATATGCTCATTTTTGGCATTTTGACGGAGAACATGTTTGACAAATCAGAAATGTGCGCTAATTGTGGTGATCGGTAGACAGAGTTTAAGAAAACCATTATGGTGTCAAAATGTTTTTTTAAATGTTATCCCTAAAAGCATTTAAAACGAACATTTTGGTAAACAACATATATTTGAGGATTTTGCTCATTTTACACATAAAAGTTGAATAACACTGTAAAGTTACCAAACATCTTTTAAAATCTGCAAACTGTCCATTACTAATCAAACCTGCTATAATGAGTTTTTGACTGCTAATTGTTAATAGTTCTAATCCAAACAAGAGCTATATAATTGCAAATCTCAAAATGTAAAACTGGAATCATTCTTCTTAAAATTGCCACTTAGCTTTCCCTAGGCCCCACCTAGGCACTATGCATCCTTTAGCCGGCTACGATTTATCCCCATCCAAAATTGCCTTGTCCTTGATTAATCACCACTTAAATGTGCATAGGCATTACGCTCTAGCCTGCCAACTGGAGAATGCCTATTACTATTTAGAACGTGACTACAACAAATAATGAATAACTCTCTAGGGTTGATTTATTACTGTTGAGGACATGAAGTCTCACATCAAACAATCGAGGCTAACAAGCCTAATATATAAGAACGTGGGTTACTACTACCGACTGGTTTTGGGGTAAAACCATAAAATCTGATAATTTTACATGGTATATCAAGGCATAGAGGGTGTTTGGGAGTGTGGTGAGTTATGTAAAAGTAGAAGTCATAATTTAAAAGCAGAAAGCATGTATTTGTAGCTTTGCTAGAAAGCACTTCTAGACCTTAATTTTAACTTCGAAAGCCATAATTAATAAGCTAAAACAGATTAACAAACATTTAAAATTGTGTTTTAGTAAAGTAGAAGCTATAAGTTATTTTCAAATGCAATCCCAAACACCCTCATAGACGTTAAAAAAAAAGCATGTCTAGTTGAGATAGTAACAACTTGATACAAAAAAACCCAAATTAAACTTGAGGGATGTTGAAGACATAAAGTTCTACATCGAACACCCAATGCTATAAAAAGACTGATATATTAAAATGTGGATTACTCCCTCCATTGCCAATTGGTTGTCAATTCTATCTGAAATATTCATTTAAAAATAGATAAAAGCTCACAATTCTATAATTACAAACTAACAACAGCTAAAGGTTCACCGTTGTACTGATTTGAAGACCAATGTGACAATACAAAATCAAAGACCCAAATTATTCTGATTGACTATTTGGTGTTTTGCTTATGCAACTCCACACAATCAATCTACGACATTAACATTTGAAAAGGAAACATACCACAATTCCATTTAGCCTTGGAGCGGAAAAATGACTCATCCCGTTTGATACAAGCTGGGTGATATGCCTTCGGACATCCCCTAGCCATTAAGAAAAAAAAAGTTGTGATAAAACTCAGGAAAAGAGAGTCTAGAGCTCATTTTACAACATTTGCGAAGTAACATGTTCGTCCAGCATACGAATAAAGCCTTCTTGCAACCAAACACACTAAAGAAGTCAAGCATGGCCAAATTTATAACAGTGTATATACATATCAAGCCCACTCACTTGCGATCGCAGAGCACAAGCGAACCGCCATCAAAGCATATAAAGCAAACATCTTCCTCCTCATCCTCCTCCCTCTTCCTCTTCGGCGGTGGAGGCTTCCCAGCAGCCTGCCCCCTGGGCGGCCGACCCCTCTTCCTCTTCTCCGTGCCGATCACCCTAGCCAGCGAAGCATTCACCTCTGCAGTTTTCCCGGCGTCCAATACAGCACCGCCAGCTGGAACCACCGTTACAGATGCCAGCTCCGCGCCGCCATTCATATTCCGATCAGAAGAAGTACACTCGTGACCATGTGCACCACCTCCCGAAATCGCACGTCTTACGGTAGTGGCATCGTTGACGAACCTTTGACTATCTGCAGCTCCCAAACACGGGCTGTGGAGCTCCGAATTTGAATTATGAGCTTCCATGAGGAATCAAAGCATTCAACGCCCTAGTCTCTCCAAGCTCTGATCGAGGAATGAAGATGGGTTTTCTTTTGAACCCTAGTGTCTCCTAGCTCTGATCTTCTGATAACGAACGGTTCGACGTCGTTTCAGCAGATGGATTGCATTCCTGAATCCTGAGATGAAATGAAGAGAGAGAGATATGCGGTGTGGTGACGTGCGATTGGCTGTCTTTGTGTGTGTCAGAGTGGGAGAGAGAAGGGGGGTGAGTGTTTGGCTCCACTTTCCAAAGATAACAAGGCTTAAAAGAGTATATCTAAGTTCGATTACTGACAACTCGATTAAGAATAAACTATGTTAAATATAGAACTTCTACATGGGGCAGTCTTTATTTAAAAGGCATCTATTCGTTAACTTCTTTCCCAAGTTACGGTGATTCATTTTTAAAATTAATGAGTCATATATTCTTTAAGTGCTCTAATTAAAAGCGGTGATATAAGACCACATTTAAAGTGAGTATCACCCGAACCTCACCATATTTTAGAAATACACCTTCCGTTTCAATATTTGTCCATGTTATATTTTTAAAGGTCGTCGATTACTTATTTTATTCTTCATTTACTCCAGATAATCACTTTATCCACATTACACTCTTTCTTAATTCGTTCTTCTTTGAGATCAGAATATGAACCTTGGAATCAAATCGTTGGAAGGATTCATTGAGTTCGATTATATACATTGCAATTTTTTAGTTTAATAGGTACTCAATGACTAACTTTTGACATAATTATCAGTGAGTTTCTCTCACGGTTTTAATCGTTAATTTATGAACGTGTGTTCTTCTAAGTGAGAAGAATGCTTCAATATACTAGACGCCAAACATAATTTACAGGCAAGTAAAAAAATTATTTTTCAAAATTCACTCGTTGAATAGAATAAATGGAGAAGTTTATGTGGGATTCCACGCCACATTGAAAACTTACTTCATTCGAACGCTACACACAACATAAAAAGAATCCTTCTAGGTTTTGACTTTGGAGAATTTACGTAAATAGCACTAAAACAAAATGATTTTCCCTAAATAGCATCACATGTTTTTTTTTCCAATGTAGCACTTTAAGTTATTATCCATTAGTCATTATTTAAGTAAATGTTCATCATCACTGGACATTATGACATTATTAAGTGCTATTTAGGTAATAAAATAGATTAAGTGCTATTTAGGAAAATGACTAAAGTTTTAGTGCTATTTAGTGCAAATATTTTTTTGACTTTTTCATGCTTGTTTCAAGTCAGCCGTGTAATCACATTCAAGCATCATTTTTATAGGGTAATTTTCTAATGTGTAATAAATCCTGCATAAAATTAATCACTTCTCCCACTTAATAGGACAACTTTGAGAATAAATTTCTCATTCACTACATAATAATTTTTTATGTATAATATATTAAAATATTCATCTCGCTTTAACAGTCAAAATTGTTAGTTGACCTCGTTGATAATATGTCAAAAGTTAGTCATTTAATGCATATTAAATCCAAAATATTCTAACAGATTATTCTTCTATTGTCCCATAAACTCCAAGAATGAACCTTGATCGAGTGGAAGCATTAAATTCCATTACTCACCCTTTGTGCATGTGTTTGCTAATGATGGTTTTGACGGAGTCCAATTTGTGGTTGAGTCTTATGATAAATCTTTACCACCACCCTCGATTCCAATGCTGCCGATCAAGAAAGAATTTAATGTGTGATTGTGTATGTGGACATATCTCAAATGTCTCATGAGTCTTATGACGCTGACGATGAGGGATTCCAATGCATGCGTGGTGCTAAGAATTCAAATAGTGGAACAGGCGGAACAACTAGCGTCCAATGAGAGTGTTGTGCCTTAAATGTGTGACCCTCACCAACCCTTCAATGTAGTGACCATGTTATAATATAATCGGATGTATAAAGAACTTCTTGCTTAGATTGTGCCATGTTCAACTTATTTTTTCTGTTTTTTACTTATTCTTATTAAATCAGATCAGATCCAATAAGATCAGATCAAATTGGATCATATCTAATCAAATTTTAAAAAAATTAATATTATTATTATTATTATTACTACTACTACTACTATTGTGATTATTATTATTACTATTATTATTATTATTATTATTATTATTATTATTATTATTATTATTATTACTGTTGTTATTACGGTGGCCTTCTTTTGACAACAACCATTGTTGTCATAATATGATAACAAGATTTACGATGCTTTGTTCAAAAAACTGATGGTTTTTACCTCCTACATCTTTCTTGCCCCCCCCCTACCCCTTCCCCAGCAGTCCCCTGCCCCACCTTAGCAACCCCCCGCATCGGCCGTGGAATGAAGTCCTTGTCAACGGAGTCGTCGAGGTTGAAGGGATGCCTTTGATCCGAAGAGCCGATAGTCTCATCGATCTCAACCTCGGCGGAGGATCTTTTCTCTGACGACCCGGCGCCGGGGTTGTTGAGGTGTTGCCATTTCGGTGATTTACTTAAAATTCACCAAAGATCGACAGAGACATTGCCTTGGTGTCCGTCGTCTTGAAAGCAGGCGATGGTTTACCGCAGAACATCGACATTGTTGTCCCGCTCTTCTGGGACCGAGAGCATTCCTCACAGATTCCTATAAACTTTTAGAATTTTACGGTTGATGTGGCCCCATTTAGAAGTGAGTTGGTCTCGTGTTCGGTAGGAGGCGTCCTTGTTCATCGCTGCAAAGAACTTCTCCTCGATACGGTCCCACATCGCATACTTTGTTTGCTCGGAATTTTTAAAAAATATATAATTGAAGAAATAATATATTTTAATATAAAAATATAAAAAATAACATATATACAATCCTTTATCCTTTATATATAAAATTTGTGAGTTCACCTTCCAGAATGATGACATTTGGCATGGTGACTCGACAAAATTTTAAACAACTCATCTTCCATGTCATCAAAGGAAGTGCAACAATTGTGATTTCTTAATTATTTCGGATCTAAAGGACCCTATCCAATGGATGGCCAGATGTTTAAGGATTTTTTATTTTGAACAAATTTAAACGACTCATCAGCCATGTCATCAACGGGAGTGTATCAATCGGGCAATTTTTTTGACATGTCAGCATGTCATGTCATGAAGTAATATATTTAAGCAATTAGTTAACAAAAACACTTAGAGGGTGTTTGGTAGTGATTAATTTATGGATAAAGTGATTTTCACAAAAGCTAAAAGCAAAAACACCTCATTACTACTTATCTAAAACGGTGTTATATGTACAAAAAAGTGGTGGAGAAAAGATGAAGCTGACATGCCAAACAGAGTAAAATTACTTTCCTTCAAAGGAGAAGCTAAATTCTGAAAAGCAGTGCACTCCCAAACACCCTCTTATTCTATGGAAATTAATTTTCGTATTTGTTACTGTTGGGGACTTGTCGTGCGTGAGATTGAATTGGGGAAAGAGAATGATGGGCTGGCCTTCTTTTGTTGATGATGATTTGGGCTCCGGCCCAAATTAGATCTCTTCTTTTCAAACTTGATCTTCAATTTGGCCTTTTGCTACACTTTTCTCCAAAAATAAGATATCTGATAACTTGGGTTAGGAAAAATAAAATAAAAATAATAGAATGTAAAAAAGTGATTAAAAAGCTACTATTTATGAAAGAAAATAAAAAGAATGTAAAAATGAAAATTATAATAAAACTAAGCTAAGCAACTAAAAATTAAACTCTAAAAATATTAAAAATGCCTAAAAAAGAATAAAAAGAACCAAACCAAACCCGACTTATCAAATACCCCCACACTTAAGACTTGAACGTCCTCGTTCAAAAGACCAAAAAAGAAACCATTTTAATTTTTTATCATCATCAAGAAAAACAAAATGCACTTTACACCCTCACTCCAAGACTTTATGCCCAAAACATTTAAGATTTTAAGAAAAAGTGAGCTATAAAATCCTACAAAGATGGAGAACTAAATTATGGATCATTTGGGTTCTAAAAAAAATGCTCTAAAGTTGTCACAAAAAAGTTTCCTAAGGAGATCCTATGGTTCAAAAAGGCTCAGTGGCAACGGTAGCAAAATTTGAAAAAAAAACTAAAAGATAAAAAAACACATAATTTTCTAAAAATAAAAGAAAACTCCTAAAATTGATTCTTAAAACTTTTAAAGATCACACACGGTTATTAAAACAGCATCTAGATAATATGTGGATGACCAGTTTTAGGAAACAAAATTCTAAGGAATGCCTAGAAGAATTTCAAACATTTTAAGGTCATTTTTTACCAAGAAAATGGGCTTAAGACTCAAGGTGAGTTTATAAAGCATGCATTTGTTATCTTTCAGAACAAAGCTCAAAGAAAAAAATGAGGTTTTTGGGTCATCATTTAAAAAACAATGCTCTAAATAAGGAGATATGCAATTAAGAATAACAAAAATATGGACCCAAAACTTATTTTTTTGAAAAAAAATTTGCCCAAAAATATACTCCCCCAAACAACGGAATAAACATGAGAACCTCTCCCACACTTAAATCATGCATAGTCCTCGATGCATCTAAATGATATGACAATATTAAGTAGCACGGACTTCGCAAAGAGAGAAGGAGAAATGGGAATGCAACTAAAAAACAAATTATACGCGGCATCAATTCATCATTTTTCCCTTTATTTAAGTGCTCGATGGACCTAAAATCTGCAAAGACAAGGCTAAAACCAAGTTTTTTAGCATTGAAGAACAAAAAAGTAGATTTCAAGAATGTAGATTTTTTCTAATTTAGCACATAAAAGCTGTGAAAAGTGTAGAATTTTCATTCTGCACTAAAAAAACAAGCTTACAAGGTGCATATTTTCAGTTTATAGCCCAAAAATCTAATAAATCAAAACCAATTTTTTTTATGGTTTGTAGCCCAAATCAACCAAAAAGATGCAGAATTTTTAGGTTTCCAACTCAAATAAGACCAAATTTAAACACCCAAGGCCTCGAGAAACATAAGATAGGCAATATACCAACACTCGGGCACCAAGAATCACGGTTTCAAAAGAGATTTGCACCCAACCGTGCAGAATTTTACTCCAAACACTTATGCTTTCACCTAAAACTCAACAAATCTTGCAAAAAGCTCTCAAAGATATGGTTAGAAGCATAAATGAAGTATAAAGAAACAATTAAACTCATCAAGATAACTTTTTTTGTTTTGATTTTATACTTTAAAAAAAAACTAAATGAAAGAGAGAAAAAAAATATTCCTATAATTACAATAAGTACAACTAGATCGATTTGGAAAAACAATTACAAGAAAAGTAAGTTAGTTATTAAAAAAAGAGAATAAAAACCAAATTAACCATTATAAGGGGGAAAAAAAATTAAGTACAACAACAAGTTAAAGTTAGTAGTAAGCATAAGGAACTTAAAGAAAAATTAAAAACGCTATAAAAGTAAGTGGGTTATGTTAAAAAAAATTAGGAAGGAAAAAAAATGCAATCAAAAACTATAAGAGAAGAAGAAAAAAAAGAAGTACAACAATTACTAGAAGTTAGAAGTAAAAAAAAATTTTTAAAAAAAACTTAAAAAGATAGTGGGTTGCCTCCCATAAGCCGTCCGATTTAACGTCTTTGGCTAGACAAAGCTTACTACTTGCCAAAAACATATTCAAATAAACCATCAAGTAGTAAAATAAATGTGTTTCTTTAAAACACTAAAAAGAAAAAGAGTAAAAACAAGATAGCTTCAAAATTCAAATTTGATTTCACTTTTTACTCAAGAAATAGCACATTGTAGTCAATTGAGAAGAAAAAAAATCAGGTTCAAAGGTGCAAGTTAAAGCTTGAGATCAGATTCTTGAATCAAATTTTGAACCTTTTTTTTTCACTTTGAGAGCAAGGAGTATATATAAGGATCAAGAAAAACTCATGCTAAATGCTCCCACATAAGTTCCCAAGCATGTTTTTAAGAATGGAACTTCAAAATTCAGTATATATGCATCTTGGAACACAAAAATCAGCTTGCACATAGGAAAAGAATGCAGATTTTTTTAAAAAACAGCACTTTAGATCAATTTTTATAAAAAATTCAGCCCCTAAAACATCAAAATCAGCATAAAAATATCATGGCATGCTTCAAAATATTATCCCCAAACAAGATATATCAATTACAGTTCATATTTGAAGCAAAGGAGCACTCCAAGGGACAAAATCAGCATATATGCTAAGTAAAAAAGTGCAGATTTATAAAAAAAACAGCAAGTAAAATCATTTTTTCTTTGAGAAAACAACACTAATTCATTCAAACTCAACATTCATAACCTGCACCAACAAAAATCAGCAACTAAAAGACCAAATAAAGTTCAAAATGCAGATTATTTCAACAAGAGTTCAAATTGCAGGTATATTAGCATTTCCAAGAATACAATACAACATCTAGACGAGCAAAAGAGTGCAATTTGTCAAAAAAGAAAAATAGCACCATGTTCATTCAAAGTTAGCGTATATGGTTGAAAGAAACAAAACCAGCAAGTAGATATGCCAAACAAAGTCTCAAAATGCAGTTTTTATGAAAAATTGGCCAAAAATCTCACAAAAACTGACAATGGAGCACAAAGATAATTTGAACAAGCTGATTATGGTACTTCTAACACGCTTAACCTCAATTCAACGAATAGGCATGAAAAAAAATTAAAACTCAAGAAAAGAGGTACTACGACATTCTTCCTAACAAAAAAAAACACAATGGCATACTAAAGTGATTTCATACAAAACTTTCCCCGGCAACAGCGCCAAAATTTGTTGGGGACTTGTCGTGCGTGAGATTGAATTGGGGAAAGAGAATGATGGGCTGGCCTTCTTTTGTTGATGATGATTTGGGCTCCGGCCCAAATTAGATCTCTTCTTTTCAAACTTGATCTTCAATTTGGCCTTTTGCTACATTTTTCTCCAAAAATAAGATATCTGATAACTTGGGTTAGGAAAAATAAAATAAAAATAATAGAATGTAAAAAAGTGATTAAAAAGCTACTATTTATGAAAGAAAATAAAAAGAATGTAAAAATGAAAATTATAATAAAACTAAGCTAAACAACTAAAAATTAAACTCTAAAAATATTAAAAATGCCTAAAAAAGAATAAAAAGAACCAAACCAAACCCGACTTATCAGTTACACATAAATTTCTCATCATAATCGCGTTTAAAAACTTTTAAATCTTAATTCATAGTTGGAAAGTATTAAAATTAAATAATATATTTTGAAATTGAAAAAAAGAACTTAGATTCAAATAATAATAATTCAAAAAAAAATTATTCTGAGAATGTATAGATTGGTAAGATAAAAAAAATTACATGTGAATATTTATTTTTACTTTAAATCTTTACATATAAAATTTGAGAGTTGGGCTTCTAGAATTATGACATGTGGCATGTCTATTGAGTATTTTTTTGACATGTCAGCAAGTCATGTCATCAAGTAAGGTTTTAAGAATTAGTTAACCAAAATTGATGAAATTGTTGACGTTGAAATTCTGTTTGAATTCTTGATTCTTGACACAAATATCTTCTCAAGAGTATAGTGGACTTCTTTTATCCAAATCTATTAGAGAACATGAAAACTAAATCTATTTTAGAATAATGCACTATTGGCACCCGCCCTCGAGGCTGTTGAATGGTAAATGAAGTTGTCCAATCCTATTCTAGAAGGAGATAAAGAGTACTTAAGTTCAGTTTCTTCATGCCAAGCATATTCAAATGTAGGTGTTGAAGATGATTGGGTAACAGTTAGTTTTTTAATGGAATCAAATGTTAATGGATGCAAAACCATAAAATAGTTTTAAAAAGGAGGTACTAATTATGTTATTGAAAAATATTGACCAATTAAACATCTAGATTGTGTAATGGTAGAATATTAATTGTTGATGAGCTGCAAAAGAACATTACCAATGCCATTGTGGTTTTGGGAAATCGATTTGCGAAAAAGGTTTACATATCTCGAATAAATTTGGTACCATCTGATTCAGGACTACCCCTGAAGTTCTAGAAAAGATAATTCTCAATAGTCTTATGTTTTGCTAAGACTGTTAACAAAAGTCAATGTCAAACATTCTCTTTTGTTATACTCTAGGGTTTTATATTTAACCAATTCAGTATTTAGTCATGATGAACTTTATGTTACTGTTTTACGAGTGAACACAAAAACATAATTAAAAATATTAGTTCTAGATGACAATGAAATCCTTACAACCATACCAAAATGTTTTGTAGCCTAGAGTCTTTTAGAAAAATTAGAATTAGAACGACTTTCTAGAGTACACTTTTAATTCCTCAAATATTATACTCCCTCCGTCCCAAAAAGAATGAGACAGTTTGACTTTTTGGGAAAATAAGGGAGGGATATTTTGGTATTGACTTTCCAAAAATACCCTTGATGTGATGGGTAAAAGTAGGATGTGATGAGTAGATTATTAGAAAAAAGGTATGATGTGATAGGTAGGGTATGAAAAAGTAAGGGGTACAAGTGGTTTTTTAATAGAAATGTAACGGACTTTACGGGACGCAGTTTTTTCTAAACGTAACAGACTTTTTGGGACGGAGGGAGTATATTCTACTTTAGTATTGTTGTTTATTGATTACAAATCGTGTTAGAAATATATTTACTTGATTCCAAAAAATACATTGCATTGAAAAAATTCAGAATCGACAATAAATTCTTTCGACCCCGTGCATGCCACGGGCTAAAATACTAGTATATTTTAAAAACAAACAAAGTTACCAACGATATGATGCTCGGAGACGTCAACCCAACCGGAGGCCAATAACGATTCTTCCTCTGGGGTCTACTTTTGAATGGACGACTGTGCCGCCTCAGTCATCGGTTTGTCGCCTTTTGGTTTGTGACTCCTTCGGCATGCAATTTTTTTGTTGCACTTGGTTCCGGTTGATTCTTTGAAACTGACTCCGGCTCTTGGAGATTCACCGAGGTTTGCATATCATACATCGATGGATTACTGGCGTATGGTTATAAAATCCACATCGCTTCCTCGTTTGGCTCGAGACCAAACAAAGAAACATTAAAACCGATAGGAATCATGTTAACAAAGATGAATTTTTTTTTTTGAAGATTTCTTTTTGTTTGAAGAAGAGAGGGAGAGATATAGAGATGTGTGGGGTCCGAACCCGACTTGCGCGGCCCAGGCATTTCCACAGAAAGTTAGTTCTCCTCCTTCCCAGTTCCATCATCATCATCTTCGTCGTCGTTCCTCCGTCTCGAAGCAACCTATCACTTGCTCGAACTTCAAACGCAATCCCCTGCGCGAAAGGACCAGAGTCCACTCCAAAACGCCTTCTTCCTCAATTTCAACTGTAGATCGCTATCGGGCACCTGCAGTTGAATCGTTTTATGTATTTTCTGCAAGAGTGAGTCCCCAGCAATGATTCAGCAGAGGCCGAGACGCAGGTGCGAAGGCACAGCCATGGGCGCTATCGTTTTCGATCTTCGCCCCGGAGCAGGCATCGGCCCATTCTCTCTCGGTATAAGTACCCTCCTCTCTTTCTAGTTTTCCCACGAAATTGGGTACAATTGAATTGTTTAGATTGTAACACCGTTTAATCGGCGGGTCACAGTGTTGACTTTTGCGTTTAGTGAATGATGGGTTCTGCTTATGAGTTAGAGGTAGGTTGCTCATTGGAAGTTCCTGAACTTGAGATTATTGGTTGTAACTCTGCAGGAATGCCGATTTGCGAGGCCTTTGCTCAAATAGAGAGGAAACCTAACATTTATGATGTCGTTCATGTTAAGTATTATGACGAGGTATGCTAATCCGTTTACCAAATATAAATTTGCAGATGATATTCAATTTCTCTATCTTGCTGTGCTTGGCATAAGAAAATAATACTTGACAAGCGTCATACAGTATCTTTTTGTGTGTCTGGTTAGCTGCGTTTAAAGTTGCCCCGTTCTGTATCCCATGTCTTCTTTACACATTGTACTGATGCGTCTTTGACATCTCAAAATTCTTCCAACTGTCATCCAAGCTTTAAATTTTGTTTTCTGCAGGATCCCTTAAAACTTGACATTGTTATTAGCTTTCCAGACCATGGCTTCCATCTTCGCTTCGATCCTTGGTCTCAGGTACTTAATTCGCCCGATGCATGCAAACTACATTCTGCTTGTGGTCTGCTAAGGAGAAGATGCAAATGATAATTTTTGTGTGCTATAGAAATTTTCCTGTAGATCTGAGAGGTTCAAATGCATTTTAATTAAGATAATAATCAACATGTCTTATTGATATTAACTTGTTCTCTGTCAGAGATTGCGTCTTATAGAAATTTTTGATGTGAAACGACTTCAAATGCGTTATGCCACGTCTCTAATTGGGTAGGTGTCCTTTTATTAGCCCGCGTATATTTCATTATTTCGGTCAACGTACTCCTATTTTTTCTCTCATTCCTTTCAGAGGACCATCAACACTAGCCACTTTTGTTGCTGTTTATGCTCTTTTTGGACCAACATATCCTGGAAAGTATGACAAAAACAGAGGAGTTTATACCCTATTTTACCCGGTATGTACTGCTGACAGTTTTGTAATGAGTCTTCGCTGTTGTCCAAACTTAAAGTATATGTTATTCAGTATAGTATATGATTTCTCTTATATGTTAACTTTTAGGGGCTTTCATTTGCTTTTCCGATTCCCTCACAGTATACAGAATGCTGTTTTGATGGAGAAGGTATTTTGTTGACAAATTCTTTGATAAGTTTGTTCAATTACCTAACTTTCCAGTGACTGTTTGGTTATTCTCATTTAGCGGAACTGCCTCTAGAATTCCCTGACGGCACAACACCAGTTACATGCCGTGTATCGGTATATGATAGTTCTAGCGGCAGTAAAGTTGGTGTAGGTTCCTTGATGGACAAGGCATCACCTCCTCCTTTGCCTGCTGGAAGCCTATATATGGAGGAAGTGCAAGTTCAGGTTCATTAATTTTAAAAAATCTTTATTTTTCGGGACCTTAAAATGGCAAAATATTAGACATGGTTATATTTTTTGACCTATAGTAATATGGCGTATGGTGTGAATAAAGTTGATTTGATTTTTGAGTTGTTTAACAGTTTCTCTTTTATCCATCCGTGAAGTCGATTTTCAATGTGTGCAGTTAGGGGAAGAGTTGTGGTTTACTGTTGGTGGTCAACACATTCCTTTTGGTGCTTCCCCACAGGTATTACTATTACACATTTCATTTCATCACTTCATGGTTGATATTGTCTGCAGTTCCTTTCATTGACCATTGTATCATATGGATGTGTTTCTCATATGCTTCTTTAGTTGTTTATCTTGATCTAGCTACTCGAGTAGATACAGTAATGAATTTTGCTTCTTTGCACTGTCTTACACATAAAATAGGCTGACCTCGTTTTTTCTCTTGTTAGATACTCTTTCCTGAGTAACTTCTGAATTTTCAGGTTTCAACTGTGCTCAATTTTGCTTACATTTTGGATATAAATTGGACTAGAAATTGTTTTCACTTTATAATCTTTTCATCTTCTCTAAGTTGGGATATTAGGAAAGATTAATGATGAAGCTAAACATAGCTATTCATCCTCTATTGTTTCTCTGCAGGATATATGGACTGAATTAGGCCGTCCTTGTGGAATTCACCAAAAACAGGTATGAATACGAACCCAAACCCAATTACCTAACAAAGCCGGTATATATGGTCTGGGGGAAGATGTATGCAAACCTTACTGGCGGTTTCAGAGAGGACCCCAATGAGCAGTGACCCACAGTGTGAGGAGTGAAAGTGCGCGCACGCACACACACACAGATCTATTCATGTGATTTCTATGTTTGATGATCTTGCTATGGATGGGAATTAACTTTATGTGTTTCATAGGTTGACCAAATGGTGATTCATTCCGCTTCTGATCTTCGTCCTCGGACTACCCTCTGCGGAGATTATTTCTATAATTACTTCACACGAGGACTAGACATTTTATTTGACGGGCAGGTAGTTTATTGTTCTTACATGTATACCATCATTAGGTTACCATATCAAACTCTTAATTACGAGTTTATTAGTATATTGTTACTATTTAAATATATGTTTTGTAGACTCATAAAATAAAGAAGTTTGTCTTGCACACCAACTATCCCGGGCATGCTGATTTTAATTCATACATGAAATGCAACTTTGTTATCCACACCTCAGATTGTAAGTTTATTTATTGAGTTTGCATGGTTCATTTGTGTATAGATTTAGTTGTTGGGGTTATTTTCACATTACCTTGTCTGCAGTTGGTGGTTCATTTCATCAGGATGCTAACTCTAAGCACACTATTACACCGAGCACGAAGTGGGAACAAGTTAAGGTAATATATTTTTTTTTGAATTGTGGACCAGATTGGTCAATGGCTCTTTTCTTGTGAGGCAAAACACATAGGATGAAGTGCTGCCTTAAATCCTCTAGTTTTAAAATGCTCATTTGCCATGTGATAGTGATGTCACAAATTCGAGTACTAGAAGCAACCTCTTGCAAACATGCAAGTAAGATTTGCCTACACCACACCTTTATGATGGGACCCATTCGCAGACCATCACTCACCAGGGATGCTCTGTGCACCGGGTTTCCTTTTGGGTTGGGAACAACACACTTTTATGATGGTCCCATGTTGAGTTCCAAGTGACTTGAACAATAATCAACTTAGTTATAAAAAGAGTGGAAACAATTTTTAAAAATAATAAGAGAAGAGGTGGGTCGGTCCCTCCATGTTGGGACGATCCCAAGTTTTGAGAACTCATGCAATTGGGGTGGGACTTGGATTGGAGTCCCAAGTGATTGCCGCATAAGAAAGAGATTGAGACCTTGGGCCTCATATTCATGCAATGGAGATGCTCTTGGAGAATTTTCTGTTTCTCTTTATCCCAATGTGTGCACATTAACACCACAATCTCAGAAATAAGTGAACTCTCGGGATTGGATATCAACAATCTAAACAAGGCATGCATGGCATAACATTCATATCAGAATATTACTATGTGGAAGTGGATTAATTGATTCAATTTGTTCATTGCAGGAAATACTTGGGGACTCTGGTCGAGCTGCTATTCAAACACAAGGCTCTACAAGCAATCCTTTCGGATCTACGTTTGTGTATGGTTACCCAAATGTTGCATTTGAGGTCAACACTTGAACACAATCTAAGTTTACTACCCCCCCTCCCTGTCCCATAAAAAGGTCCCACATTTTCTTTTTTGTTTGTCCCAAAAAAGGTTCCATTTTCCTATTAAGGATTGTGTGGTTATTATCAAACACACAATTTTACCTTTATTAATTGTGGTCAATCAAATATGAAACCTTAATTAAGGATGGAGGAAGTAATATCAATACATCATTACTTCACACTTATTTATGTGCATCTATCAATCGTTCACACTTCCTGCCATTTGGATTAAACACAATGTATAACTTACAGGTGATGAAGAATGGTCATATTACCACTGTAACTCTCTTTCAGTCGTGACGATATATTAGTGGTGAGTTTATTTACCCCAAAAAAGAGAGAAGGGTTACTATATTTATTCATTGTACTCAATATGTGCACATCTTTCATGGTAGTAGAATTGAAGCCTTGTTTGGTTGGATTAAATTTGGCTGTTACAGTGTGTTTGACAGTTTGACTGAACCTAGGTTCTTTTCCACTCTTGTCATTTTTATATTTACGCGGTCAAAGATATATGAAATTGTTTTGCAGGCTTGTAGGAATGGGATTGGACAATTGGCTGATTTCTGTACGAAAGCAGTGGCACTCCCCTGGGAAGAGTGTCGATGTATAATTGTGTCATATTGTACAGTTTATTAGTTCTTGTAACTCATGATCACAATTGGGCATTTGTACATATAACATATATCTGCTCTTTATCTTTGTACAACAATGCTAATTATACAGTGATGTCACATTCATTTGTTGCAGCCTGAGTGGCTCTTTGGCTGTATTTCAATATTACTCTAAACGCAATGCTGAGGGAGTTTTATTTTGCAGTATTCTGCCAAGTTACCAAACATCTTTTAAAAAAATGTAAATGAACAAGTCTTTTCTTTTCAACTTATTCTTAGTTAAGTTCAAAAGAAGTATAAACTTCGTACAATTCGACACTTTTCGATTAAAATCAGAACATAGAGATGAGATGATGTAGCAACAAATCAAACAACATAGCAAAGAGATGAGATGATGTAGCATTGTAAAGAGACGGCTGAATGGGTAGATAGAGTGCTACAACATCTTCCGAAAGTGCACATATAAATAGAAATATATGCAAGCAGTAAATAATGCACATAGAGTTATAAGCGCATTTCAGAGAAAGCATTCTAACATGTGGGAGTTACATATGTCTAATCATCTGTTAGAATATAAATAAATGTTCCTGGGCCACAACCACAAGCTTGAGCTTTTGGTTGAGTTGGTTCCTTGACATGGTATCAGAGCCTCGTTGACTAAGAGGTCACGGGTTCGAAACTCAGCGCCACTCAGTTTAAAAAATTAAGGTTTCACGTGCAAGGCTCGAAAAAGACTATGCCTGCACGTGAGGGGGCGTGTTAGAATATAAATAAATGTTCCTGGGCCACAACCACAAGCTTGAGCTTTTGGTTGAGTTGGTTCCTCAAGGAACCAGCTCAACCAAAAAGCTCAAGCTTGTGGTTGTGGCCCAGGAACATTTATTTATATTCTAACATCATCATTCACTAAATCTTGAAAGTAAGTTGTATCAATCAATAACAATACACTTTTTCAAATTATTATGACAAAAAATGCTGATTACAAGACTAAGAGTTTTAGCTTGGAAAATGCTGATTACAAGACTAAGAGTTTTAGCTCGAATCTTGTCCGAGTTTGTTTTTCGACTTTCCAACATGCATATGACATGTAAGCTGTTCTAGTTTCAGAATCATTTCTCAAAATTTGGATACTTGTAATTTATAAAACTAGAGATGGCAAGCACATCCGTCTCTTTCTCCTGTGCACATGACCATTTTAGTGTAAAATGACATGTCCAACTCCTTCACGTTGTGAATGTATATGTTCGGTGTTAACTTACACGATCATATTCTCTTTCTCGTGCATTTTCTATGATACTCCGTTTTCTTTGTGTGAGACTTGTGCTATTCATAAGAGCACCTCTAACCCTAGCTGAGTAGGATTAACCAATTAAAAGCCTTATTGCAATCCACATATGACTAGAAGTGGTAATTCTCGATTTCTTGTATAATTATGATTCCAACTTCAAGTCTATTCTTTTTTTTCCTTTTACGCACACTAACACTCCTTATGCAATGGATGATTTTCTTTTCATTAATCATGTACATCCAACACATGACTTCTGAACATCAGACGTAGCTACTAGAATCCTTGTGAGGTTATGCTTCTCACCCGCGAAGTAAATATATTATTAGGGCAAGGTTTCCATGATATTGCCCGACAATGTCATGGGATGACCCGGGGGCGCTCCGGTGCCCCGTTCGTAAAATTGACAGTTTTTACCCTCTAACCCCCGGTAAACCTCTCCACTCCGCCCCGACCCGAACACAACCCCACCCCCTTCAATTGCACACCACAAGTTGATTTTGACTTTGGAGTCAAATTTTACGAACGGGGCATCGGAGCGCCTCCGGGTCATCCCATGACATTGCCGGGCAATGTCATGGAAACCTTGATGATATTATTAATCTTGTTTCTTTCTCTTTAGCCAAATGCCGGTGGGCGTTGCGTAGTTGGTAAGACAAGGAGTGCTAAGGAGTAAGACTCGAGTTCAATTCTTGTTAATTGCGCTAGGAGAGTCAACCATGCTAAGCATAGAACCTCTGCAAGTACCAGGTATAGACTCTACTCTTTGCTACTAATCTGCGATCAAAGTCTAATTTATCGTCTAGTCGGGTCTGAGGGGGACTTCGTGGATGTAGAGTTGATAAGGCAAGGATTGCTAGGGTAAGAGAAGCAACCATACTAAGCATAGGACTTCTGTAAGTTCTACTCTTTATTACCAATCTGCGATTAAAATCTAATTTATGTGTGGGCTGTGTTTTTTTTGTTTAACCAAACACCCGCCCGAACAAAACGGGTTTGACGCCCCCATCGATTCGCTTGGGTCCGCGTATATAGCACAAACCACAGAACGCGAGAAGCCGCTTCGCTGAGTGCCAACAGAAAATTGTTGCTCATCTTCCTGCTTATCCCCGCCGGCCGGCCGGCCAGAACCGTGCTTATCTCAATCGCCGGTATGTTTCAATCGTTAGAGCTCAAATTTTAGTTTTGTTAGGGTAGTAATAGGGTTTCAACACCAAAATGAACTTTGATTTAGTTAGAGTTTTGCTATAGCAGTGGAATCTCTAGCTGATGTTTTATAACTCTCAGCATTGAGTTTGATTTCAATGCCAATCCTTTTGTTTTGAGATTTTTCATTTTTACTATTTTTGTTAATGATAAGAAATGCGAGTATATAAACTTTTCTTTTGAATTTGAGTATATAAACTTTTTGTCAAATTATCTCTAGGAAGAGCAGTTTGGGGATGCACTTGAGTTTTATTTTGAAATGGTCGGTTTTGGCTAGCTTCGTTTGATTTCTTTATTCTGTCAGATTCGTGGTGTCTCTTGTTCAACCTACGATGACTGTGTCTGGGCTAACCACCTTACCATTGAGATACAGCCTTCACCCACCCGTACGATGTTTTGGGTTGCCAGCCAAGAAGGTTCTGGTATTCCCGAATGCATCTAGAATGAGGTATTTGCTCCATTACTGTTTTATTCCAAACATTATTTCTTACAAGTGATTGAGTATGTTATAACCGTTTATATTCATGCTGTCATTTAATCATGAAGACTCTTGGCTGATAATACAAGGAAATTCAACATACAGCAAAGGCATATTGTCAAGTGCTCGATGTCAGCTTCATATGGGGATTCCATGGGCGATGCTGCTGGTAAATGCTTTCTTTTGTAGTAATAGAGTTTTTTTTTTCAAATTCTATTTGTTTGAATACCCCATCTGACTTTTGAATGATGTGGATAAATATTTAATGAGAGTAGTGTGTGTGCTTGAGGTGTCTCTTTCAAATGATGCAACAACGTAGTTAAGTACAATGTGTCTACTGGGAAAGAATTTGGATTTTGGAGCTTGCTTTGTTCAAATCTTTTTCCAAATTGCCTTTTTCAAAACCTAATTCGTTTTGTGATGAACTACAGTAGATGGAGATGCAACTAGCCAAGTATACTGCCTAACAGCCCAACACTTGAACAATAGTTAGAATAACTGGTCAAATAAAAAATTCAATGAAGATTTAAGTCGTGTTTGGTAAGGGCTATTCGACTGACCTGGCTGAATTAGCTGTATTATTTGAAAATGAAAGTTTTTGGACTTTTGGTAACATCCATTTCAGTCAAATAAATAATTGGAATAAGGCAATAAGCCCAACAAGGCTACCAAATAGAGCTTCAATGTTTCATGTAATTCTTATTGTTTTCATTTTTCTTGTTTCTGAAATAAGTTGAGGGTTTACACATTGAAGACCTTGGGTATGAGATATAAGTCAAAATAATATAACCTTTTGTTTGATTTACTGAACTTGGTCATCCACAATTACATTAAGTTTGCCCTGATTTAGGTTTTCTAGTAGGTTTATTAACTTATTACCCAATAATACCTAAAGCTGTTCTTTCTCTATTTCTTGAGTGTAGCTATTTTTCCTAGGATCAACATTATGGATCCATACAAACGACTTGGAATCAGCAGGGAGGCTTCTGAAGAAGAAATCCAATCTGCCAGGAACTTCCTAATAAAAAAATATGCTGGCCATAAACCAAGTGTGGATTCTATTGAATCAGCACATGATAAAATAATCATGCAGAAGTTCTATGAAAGGAAGAACCCAAAAATAAATATTAAGAAAAAGGTGAAGGAAGTAACTCAATCTAAGGCTGTACAGTTTGTGACAAGCAGGTTCCGCACTCCGGCTACATCTTTTTTGATAAAAACTTGCATTGCTTTCATTGTTATTGGAGCTATGACGGTTCTGTTTCCAACTGAAGAAGGCCCAACTCTTCAAGTAGCCATTTCCCTTATCAGTACCATTTATTTCATTCATGCCCGGCTAAAGAGTAAACTCAAAGCTTTTCTTTATGGGTATGCTACTATTTACTCTCAGTGGTGAACTTGTGTAAGTAGTAAGTTTTATGCTGAAATTTTGTGGACATATGTGCATAGGCAAGGATAAATCAGGGTAATACAAGATCTGTGTAGAATTATCTGGTATCAACTTGACCTTTTAGATCATTTTGGATAAAGTCAGGGTTATACAAGATCTATGAAGAATTCTCTAGTCTTGATATGGTAATGATCATTTTGGATCTCAAAAAGCTTAAAAAAGTGAACACACGAACTTCAAGATTGGTCTGTCACATTGAGCCCTCATCTTGTGTAGCATGTTAGACCATCCCAGACCTAACAAATATAAAAATACAAACCAGCAATGGAAGTTTGTACTTACAAGCCACCGTTTTGTGGGGCATGTTAAACCATCCCACACCCAACAAATATAACACAAAACCAGCATATAAGTTGTTCAGACACTCCAATTCCTTTAATGGACCCAGGGACTTTTAAATGAATGAACATTAAGAAAGTATTGTTCTAAATGCTTAATGTTAAAGTGAGGCTCTAAAACACATGCGTGTGAAATATGTTTCCTCAATTCCTTTAACACCTTAACTACTCTACGATTAGTGCCGCTTTCTGATGTGCTCCTTTGGTTTGCAGGGCTGGGGCATTTATTTTCTCCTGGCTGCTAGGGACATTCCTAATGGTATCTGTAATCGCTCCCATACTTAAAGGACCCAGGAGTTTGGAGGTTACTACTTCACTTATAACCTATGTGTTCTTGTGGGTCACATCAACTTACCTTATATAGAGCTTCTCCTAATTTCTTTCTCCCCGCCCCAATTTTTGTAAGCTCGTAGTGGTATGGTTGGGTACTACCTCTGAATTGCCATGATTCTTAATTAGGGCATAATGGCATTGACATCATCAATGTTTCTTCAAGGATTTTGAGTGCATTGTTGTGTTTGTGCATATTGTAGTGGAGATAATAATGTGTAATAGATTCGACCCAAACTTGTATTGGGTAGTCTTATGGTAGGAGGGAGCAAAAATCGCCAAACCGGCTATCCCCTCCCTACTACTAACCACCCTACATGGATATGTGATGTGGACTATTTTTTAAGTAGCCATTATTTATTGCATATGATTTGCTTTCACTGTCTCTTCATTCATACTTCCTCTTATTGCATAAACCTTGGAGGATGTTTTTACCTTTTACTTTGGGCTAATAGTAATAAGGGTCATGTTGGGCGCCCCCAAATCATTGCTACCATAGATGCACCCATGCTTCGCACATATGACACAAATGATAATCATCTGTGCGAAGCATGGGTGTACCCCCGGTAGCAAGCACCCTAGTATTTTTGCTCCCTCAAACCTCCCTATAATTCTCCCTCAAAAGTTGCAATTCAGTTAATTCTAAAAACTTTGACAAGGATTATAGGGGTTGCAAGAATTTTATCAGGATCCGTTTGGTATACAGAATTGATGAAATTAGAATTGAATTGGAAGTGAAGTTTTATGGGATTCAATTTCATAGAATTGAATTTACCAATTCCAATTTATTTTTTGCACTATTAGTTCCAAATCGACATATTTTTTGTGCTACCAAACACCATAATCGGAATTGAAGTCCTCAATTCTGATGCCATACTTTGAATTCCGTGTACCAAACGGGACCTCAGTATATTTTAGGTTCTAGATTTCAATCGAGTATTCATCAGCTTAAGTTTTAAAAAAATGGCTGTAATTGTTAATCAATTCACAACTCTTTGCTTTAAAATCAAACAATTAGCCCAAATAATTAGCCCAAAAAATCCTAAACATTAGCCTTTCCTCGATTAAATGATCATTTAATTAAATATGTAAGGGAACTCTAGTTTTGGATTAAAAAGAATTCATTATTATCTGTGTTTGGGGCGATATGATATAAATTTAAATGTATATTGTTATAAATATATATATATAATATATTGTTAGATATATATTGTTAATTAATATTAATCATATATAAATATCTTTTTAAGTCATTGTTGAAAAAAATTATAAGTAGTTGGAAATTATTTTTTTGAAGAACATGACCTGGCTAAACCTTTCTTTCTTGGCCGAGTCTTTTTTGGGGTCAGGCCTACAACGTTGGGTCTCTCTCTCTCTCTCTTATAAGATCGTTCAACATAGACTCTAGCCAAGCCCATATCCCAACCTTCTTCTCCTTGCATTCTTTTGGGCTTGGTCAGCCTTTTACTAAGTCCAAAGTCTTTTTTTTTGTTTTTCAATTACTAATCTATTTCAACTAATGCAAAAAAAGAAAGTACTTTCGGTAAAGAATATGTTAAAAGAACGAGTGTTCCAAGACGGGCATGAATGTTAAAATTTTTAACTACTAGAAAGAAGAATTAATAGAGTAAATTCCATAAAAAATTCCCAAAACCACCTATAATTGGGACTAAATATGTAAAAGAACTTATAATTGAGGACCTTTTATTGAATTTACTTTAATTAATAATAATAAATAATTAAAATTTTACAAGATTTACTGCTCCCTATGTTGCGCTTCATGAGGTTTCAAGTTAAACAATGTTGTCATGTGTTCTTTTTGGACCTATTTCCATGAAAATCCCATAAGAATCATTATTCGAGAAAGGAATATAACAAATGAACTTAAAGAAAGTGAGGAAATGCCTAACAAACCAATTTGTCACTTCATTTGATTATTTGAACAACAGTTACAGTATTATATACAGTATAATAATACAACAAAACGGGTCTCGACCCGGAGGAGCATCGGCATTAGCAGAAGCACTACAATTATAATCACAGGAACATAAATACATGTACAGAAGTTACAGATACGTCATCTGTTGGCAAAGGTTATAACACACTTTGGTAGTTGGAAGAGCGACACGACACGAAAATAAACGCTTCAGAGTTAAAAATGTCTCTTACGTGTCGTATTGCCTAGCTTTTAAATTGAACTCCGTCTGCCCGAAGGAACATGACATTGAGACAGCCAAAGGTCCATGTTCTCTACCATCTCTTTTCTTACTTTGAGCACTGCATCGTGTGAGCTGCAATTCTTGGCATCACCTACGATTGGAAATATAATAATAATAATAATAATAATAATAATAATAATAATAATAATAATAATACAGGCATTTCTATTTTCTAGTAAGTTTTCAAAAAAAAAATCTCTAAAGGAGGAATGAAAATAGTGACAGTAATTGAAGCATACCTTCAGGGACTAAAGGAGACTGGGGGCAACCACGCATGTCAGTTCCATGGCCACAGTTATGGCACGTGATGATGTAAGATGGCACTGACAGATCAAAAATGAAGACTCGGGTTAATAACAATCAACCCTTTTAATCAAAATCTTCCTCAGCTGCGTTTTTGTACACGACATGAAAATGGTTGTTTAGTTAGTTGGAACAATTAATTTTATATGCAATTCCTTATTTTGCCCTTTGTAAAGTTAGCATCTTACATCTCAGTAGTGATTCACCAACCCCTATTTTACCCTTTGTAAAGGTAGCATCCTATGTCTGAGCATTCCTATTTTGATGTTGGTGATTAACCAACCCTTGGAAATAGAAAATGAGATGCACGCAAAACAAAAAAAATGAAGAAGAAAAAAAAAGATGCACGCCCAACTAAAAAAATTGGATTATCTTTTGTGGGATAGACCGAAAAGAATACTGATGGGCCAGAGGGAGAGCTATAATACGGTATCGGGCATCCTAGCTCACAGTCTAACTGAACAGGTGAACATTTTACACAGCAATATTTTGTTCATTGCTGAGCCAAAATGGACAAATTTACTCCATAAAATCAGATGTCATGATCAATATGTAGGACATATTAAAGTTATATCAACATTCCAAAATGAGTCCTTTTACCACCACCAATATTTAACTTTTTCAAAGCATATCGAGAATTTTGTTTGACGTAAAGTTATTTTCTTTAGAAATGCTCAGTTTTAAAGTCCTGAAAAGATGTTTGTCATTCCAACCTCCTGGAATCTATATCTATCAAGTGTCAGTGTGTTGTTACTCACTGTCTGTAGATGAAGTCTGTTTAGATGCATGTCGCCACGGATCTTGTGATCCATTTGTAAAGACTATCTTTGAACCTGCCAAATAGAATTTTGTAACCTATACGCCACTTTTTATATACAACTCTGCTTCAAGGAGAAGTCAATGCCTAAGAATAAATAAACAAATAAAACCTAAAAGTGAAGTTAAAATACCAGCAATATCTGTGCCACCATAGTACAAATTGGTTCCATCAACATCAGGATAGATGCCATTCCCAAAGACATTCTTGCAGAGGTTCAAATGATAGCTGCAAAAATGATACGAGTATGCTGTATCAAGTTTTATACATCAAGTATAGAATTGTATGAATTTCAAATCTAAAATATGCAATGACAATAATTAATATTTTGACAAATCAATAAACAAAGATTACAATTTTACTAGTTGAGCATTCAAATACTAAGCGACCAATTTCAAGGTGCCAATAGTAAACAAAAACATGCCTTGTATCCACCCTTGAAGAGCGAACACTATCATTTGTAGGGGCCACCTGGAAATATGCAACTTCGGTACAGACTTGGAACCACCACAGACGATCAGCGGTATCACCCTCAACTGAAGTATTCTTTAGATGTTCTTGATTGTATGTTTCAACATTAACACCAAAATCTTTAACAAAATTTTCCTTCACGTATGTGGCATATGCATTCTGCAGGGAAAATTCCCAAGAGTTATGAAAATTTGGAAACAATTGACTTACAACAACAACCTTCCAAGTAAAATCCCACAACTGACATCTTGGTGGTGGTGGTGGTGGGTGAGGGGCACACAGACCTTAATCCTACCTAGAAAAGGTAGAGAGGCTCTTTCGGAATCAACTGACTTGTATTCTTGTACAACATTGTATGGAGTAACTCATAACAATATCAATCAAGTGTTTAAAATAGGTTTAGAGTTTATTTCCTAGTAGTTTTAACTTTCATTGCAAAAACAACACATTATTACATTAATCAAGATATGCTTTTTTAATACTTAAGGTAATACTTTTATTAAGAGAAGTGAAAAAAACTTGTGGATAAAGATATTAGTTTTTTTATACGTAACTTTTACTCTAGTGTTTCTATTTCAAGAGTATCAATTTTATGTTGAAAAATGTATTACAATAAAATTACTTTGTATTACTTTTCCTCCAACTATCACTTTTCCGGCAATTGTTGTGGCTTTTGAAAATCGTGTTGCTACAATGGAGGCTACAGTGAGTAGATGAGAGGGTCTCAATTTTTTCTGTTTGGGCAATGACTCTCTAGGATGCATGCGATCAGATTTTTGCAAGGCTCTAAAGCAGGTTCCTCGGTAATATTACAGCTCATAACGCTGGGGACATGAATCAAGTTGATATGTTTATTTGTAAAGCTATGTGTTACGGGCCAGTGGGTGACAATTGTTTTTGCCTATGTTGGTAGACCTAAGATTCCCGCAGGGAAGAAAATGGAAGATGTGTTGGAACGAAGAAAAATACCCATACTACGGAGTATTTTTTATTCAATCCCAACTTCTTTTCCATTTACATAATGTCTTACTAATTAAACTGATAAAAAAATGTCTTCCTAATTAAAGCAAATACAAAGGCTTGCCAAAATATACAGAGATCCCTAAATAATTTTGCCAAAAAAGAAAAAATAGGTCAAAAATAAAATTTGTCAAGGCGGAATAGGGAAGCAATCAGTCAGCCTAGATTATCTATGTTCATTTATTCAGTCCCAAAAAATTACTCTTCCGGAATTACAATATGCACGCACATATGAGAATAATGAGACCAATCGCTTAATTTTATTTTCCTGGCATACAAGGCCAATTTATTCTCTCTATAAAAATCAAATTATCATCGTCAACGTCATTATGTCGCCATTACCTCAATGCTAACTAGCGGAGGTGGTTATAAGTTGAGATAGTCTTCACAGTCACGTCCCATTACGAGAATGGTATTGTGAAATTAACATGCACATCAAACATGACCACACATAATTAATGTGCTTGTAATTAATCTTATCATCTTTCACATGGATCAATTAGACATGTTCATTATCATAGTCATTATCAGAAGTTAAAATCATGGCTTTGCACAATAGAGAAATCCAAAGAAATAAATTTATGGCAACAATTAAAGCTCACCACTAAATCCTCTCCATTCTTCTTTGCTTCGATGAGAGGATCACAAAGTATATCTGGATTACCATACTGAAACTGAAAATTGGGAATAATTTTATAATTTTTTAGATAGTACTTGTTTCTGAAGTTCAAATAATATGGACACAAAGAAACATCAAAATTCAGTTACAGCTCACTCACCGCTGTAACTGCAGCATCGGCCAGAAAATACAGGAAATCATCATCAATTTTTAGCTGTAAAGAAGTAAAATGCAGGTGACTTTCAAAAAAAGGTAAGGGAACCTTTATTTACGAACACTCATATCACAAACACATTCAGCCATTGTATATATAGACTCTTCGGAGACACCTGGGGCAGACTTATTATTGAATGTAACTATGTAAGTCTGCATAAGGTGACTGTATGGTGGCTCAAAGACAACTAGACTGCTTTAAGACTTTGTGTGTGTGGGTAGTAAGTAGTGGTAGTTATTAATAGAATTTACCACAATGTGGTGTGTGTGTGTGTGTGTTTGTGTGTGTGTGTGTGTGGAGGGTCAATATGAAAAGAGCTAGGTGTAATGCGTGCTGATTTGCAGACTAGAGGTGTGCATATAATATGTTCGCTCATTATACTTCTTGTTATGGGTCTATGATTAAGAACTCTGACCTATTCAGAAAATGAGGTAAAACATATGAAAGCAGGAAGGAGAGAACCGAACAGAACACATGGAGGAAGAAAGAATAGTTTTTAAATCCATAACAATCATAATAGATAATAAAAGACTTCTTATATAGAGGTTTACATTCCTAAAGACCTAAACCAAAAAGGAAACCTAACAATAGAGTTTTGGTAAATAAATACTTGATTAAAACAATATTTCCTCCATCCCAAAAAGAATTTCACGTTCGGTATTCATAGGGTCAAACTTTGACATTTTCGTTTGCCTATTTTCATTTCTCATCTGATAAAAATAAGTTTTGTCACCTCTTAATTTGTAAAATTTTTACGTAGTTTTTAAATTTATAAATTTTATTTGTAAATTTTATATTGATTTTCAAATAAGGGTCCATTTGGGAAGGGGGAAATGACTTCCAAAAGTCATTTTCCCATTTTTCAGTGTTTGGTTGTTCCCGAAAATAGGATTCAACAAAAAATGATTTCCGAAGTCAAAAAAAAGAGTCTTATTTGGAGGAAAATGATCTCCGTTTTTTTTGTGGAAAGATTTTCCACCCTTTTCCTACTTACATCGAAACTCACCATGTTTTATTATGGAGTATGTTATAGCAACAAAATCTTTTTTTCACTTTCAAACAAACATCAGAAAATGAATGTATTTTCCATCGTAGCCCGGAATAAGAAAGCATTTTTGGGACGGAGTGAGTAGAGTCTAACTTAAATGATTAAAAATAAATGTGTTCACACGTTGCTACTTTACTTCTTCCACAACTCTTGCTTACGTCTAAGGCGGGTTTGCACACGTCCCACAAGTACACTCAACAGATAGGAAAAATAGACACCTTTTGAAGATGAACATGAACTATTTTTTATTTTAAAAAATACATAAGGATCTGGTTCAAAAGAATGCCAAACTAAAGATAGAAGGAACTAGAATCCCCCATGACATGTATTAGTTTCACCGTTTATGAGGTGCTCCTTGTCATACCCACACCGCATACAATAAAGCATACTGTATTATGAAGCTAAAACATATATTGCCCACATAACATGAACTTTCAAACCAAATAAATCTATGTAATGACTATACATTCAAAGTGTTGTCTTCTATATTAACGTTGTGCACAGAAGCTAAAATAACATTTTGACAACAGAAGGAGATATCACAATCAATACCAGGCAGCAAGCTATTCCCTACCACCAAAATAATATTTTATTTCAGATTAAAAATGCATTGTATATTTCAATGCATTTTTCAATGCCTATCCTTAACTTAAACAATAAATGCATTGTATATTTCAATTAAAAAACACATACAAGATACAAAAACATTTAATCTGAGAGTCAATATTGGTAATTTTGGAAGAACAGTGAAAATATGTATACAATTCCAAAAACCACAATTATTTTAGGAAAACTTTGTGTGGCTAAAATGAAATTACAAAAACTAATTTGGACAGAGGGCATTTATTTCATACCTCAGCAGCATCGAAAATTGCTTTTGTTTCTTCACTATTAGATGCAAGCTTTTCGTCCACCAGGTGAGTAATTTCTTGCAGAACACTCTTACACTCTGGACCTGCAGATTCTCCAACCTGTATCAGGAAAATTCACCATAACCACGTATTTCTCTCCCCCTCCCCACCCCCTTTCCAAAAAAAATAAGGTTTGTCATAAGCTTCATAGAAGAGAAAATGTAAAAACTGAGCTGATTATGCTACTGCTAAAGCATTCATTGCATTAAAAGGTTTTTAATACACTTTTCAGGCAATGTTCATAGGGGAAAAAGGGGTAAGCTAGACCATTAGTTAGTGGTTGCATTTAGTTCATTTGCTATTGCTTGTTGCATTTCACTTGCTCATTAGCTCATATCACATCTCACCTCAACCATAGACCTAGCTTTATTTCACTAGATAGCATTAGACAAGTGTTTATCACCCTTAAGGACCATGTCCTAATCAGTTTTTCCATGCTCCCCTTCCACCCAGTCTTTTTTTTTGGGGGGGGGCATTGTACACCCATCACACACTATTACCACTTTTAAGCTCTTTCCACACATACATGACACACCTATTTGGGCTATATGAGCTCATCATATAAGCTTCATACGAAAATAAGGCATGAAAAGTGAAAAATGAACAAAAAAGGACACAGTGAAATGCATGACAATCATAGTTTGTAAGGCGTCGCCTAGGCGCTGTCACTGGACGCCTTGTCTGCTCGCCTAGAAAACCTTAAGGCGATCGGGCGCTGGCCTAGGTGTCGCCTTTCCTAGCCTTGATGCCTTGGGCCCCTTTAAAATTTTGAAAAACCCCCTTTTTTAGTGCAGCCCATTTTCTTTTAGTGTAGCCTAATAGGCTTAAACTTACCTTCTCTCTCTCTCTCTCTCGGTTTTCTCTGTCTCGATCAAGCTTCCTTAAAAGGTATGATATATATATACACACAACAACAACAACAACCCAGTTAAATCCCACAAGAGTAGGGTCTGGGGAGGGTGTGTACGCAGACCTTGTCCCTACTTGAAAGTAGAGAAGCTGTTTCCAAAGAGACCCCCGGCTCAACGTCGAAAGTTGCATTGCTTGACTAACTGCTACTTCATTAATTAACGAAGCGCAGACAGTTTAGAGATCCATTTTGATTTATTCCATCACACCCCAAAGCCAAAAAATGGTGAAATTTTGGCTCCATCGGATTTATTCCATGATCCATTTTGATTTATTCCATCACACCCCTTTTTCCCCTATAGATATATATATATATATATATACATATATATATATATATAGGTATGAATGTCGCCTAAGCGTGCGCCTAGTTGCCTAGACGATATGAAGGTACATTGTCGCCTCGCCTTGCCGCCTTACAAACTATGATGCCAATAATTTAGCACACATGGGATGAAATTTGTTTGGAGAAAAGGACAAGATACACCCTTAGTTGAATATGAAAAACTGACAATGGAATTCTTTTCACCTGCTTATCAAATTCTGTGAAGTTGTATATAGCACGAACAACTGCAGAACTTGCAATACTTCCACAAGTAAGATGAGGGAACTTTAACCGAAACCACGCACTAAGGGCTCCAGGATATGAAATACCAAAGACAAACCATGGATTATCAACATTAGATCTATTGAGCTTCACATTCATGGATTCCTACATCACAAGAAAGGTCACGAATTAATATCTGGAGAGATAAATACTAACCGCTATTCTTTCATAGGAAAAAGTCCAGTGAGAGATTGTCAAATATTGAACTCAGACAATACATTGAATCCTTTCTAACGATGTTTACGTTAAGATCCAGGTGTAGTATAGGAGTCTCTTTCAGTATTGTGTTGTTGGCTAGTTCAAAGTTATGTTAGATCAGATCTTCCTGTATCATGCTAGCCCTAAATACTGTAGCATTTAATCACTACAGAAACAGCAACTTTTGGTCGAGGATGAGCCCAAAACATAAATTTTTCATCCTTTTAGCATTTAACCGCTGCAGAAACAGCAACTTTATGCAGTGCATCCTCAATATTCATTTAAAACATTCATCCAGGCTCTAATCATGCATTTAATGTTAGAAAAAATCTAAATCCATTTAAGAGTGAAAGTCATCCAACCTATTCCCTACAAATGATGGATATCTTGCATGGGAACATTGTTCATCTGGTTTAGTGCCTCAAGACTCAACAGATGTAGAAAACACATGAAGTACATAGGGAAAACAACAATCGTACAAGGTACCTGATAATATTGACGGAAAGCAGCAAGGTCAAAAAGTGCTTGCTTTGATGAAAGATATTTCAGGTTCTCTGTTGTCAATGATTTAAAGGGTGAGCTCTTTCCATAATACCGATGTTCAAGAGAAACAACTGCAGCTCCAAACTTCTTAGCTAGAACCTGCATGGCATTACATGGGTCAGAAATTACCCCTAACTACTGAAAGTCTGAAACTACAAATCCTGAAACAAAATATGGAATAAAAACTACGAAGTAATTATAATGAAAAGTTGACCAAACTAATATCCACAAGACTGGGATGAGTGAGGGTGCGTTCGGTGTGGCCCAGTTGGCCATCCACTTTGGTTGAGCAGTTCCATTTTGGATTTCATAGTCACTCTAGCATTCCAAAACCCTGTTTCCAAAAATCTACGCAACCTTTTATTTAAATAAACTACTTTTCCCCCCAAATATTTACCTACTTTTTTAAAGATGTATTCTTATCCGTAATTTAACACCACAACAGCTACATCTCAAACGAACACCCAAAAACTAAAATTTCTCAACTGCTATCCTAAGAACAACAACTACTACTACAAACAATTTAAACGAACAGGCCCTTAGACTAACTTTCCAATGCCAGAAAGTAAATAATTTTCTTTGCTTTGAGATGTTTAGCACAAAAAAATCATGTCCAGCAGGTGAGATTTATCCCGAATACTAAAACAAGTTTAGATTAAGTGAACAGATGTAACAAACAATGAACAGTGGAATTCATTAGGTATCCGGAATGTGTGAAACAACTAATGTTAGGAAAATTAAATAAAAAGAAAACTCAAAATTTTGGCCAAACATTCTAACATTTACTCTCCAATCTTTTTACCTGATCATTATGATTTTGTGATACAATAAAAGTTGAATGAATATGAACATATATTAAGTCTAAATTCATTCAATTTTTAATGTATCAAGTCATAATAGTAAGTTAAAAGAGAATGGAGGGAGTATGGGCTAAAGATATTGGATATCAACATCTACACATCTTAAAAGTGACACTTAATAAACAAATATAGGATACATGTATGTGTATTTATTTTTTGTAGAAAACCTAAATGCTCAAGATAAGGGTCAATAAGTTTAAAGTAATGTGAACATACATTGATGTAGTCATTAGATATCCCATTACATGCAGATTCCCCACATATTTTCAAAAATATTGGCCCATCAGGAATGTGGAAGTTGTCAAGAAACTCATAGTACCGTTGGCTGAACTTACGGTGGTCCTGCAATCAAGGAAACGTATCAGAAAACTATACAAGTCAACCACAACTCAACTTCAAAATAGAAAAACATATTTGCAGACTCAATCACCATGATAACAAGCAACTCCAAGATGATTTTGAAGTGGTCCGCTGAATATGGATGCATTCAACTGTGTGCTCAATGCATTTCTCAAATGATAGAAACATTTTGTGCAGAAATACAAACTCGACGCCGATTTTATGGAATAATACAAGACTAAATAAGCAATTGTATACTCCTTAAATAACAGTGAATCGCATCTCTTCCTAACAGAATCTTCAAATTGACAGTAAGGTTTCTATCACCATTTCTAGTTTCTAACATGCGGAGATTTCATATAGAGCTTCAAAAATCTGTAAACCAGAAACTGAAACTAGCAGATGTATCCTAGATCCTGTGAAACTATCCACCATTATCGTAATCAATTGCGAGAAAACGTGCAAGGGAAGATAGAGATGAGCCAGAAGTGATTACATACATAAGGAGAGAAGTGATCGAGAGTTTGATCGAACCAGAGTTCGTCCTTGGTCAAATACTTGCTGCTCTCCGTGGAGAGGCGCTGAAGATGACGCGATACAAGGACGCCGTTTGAGATTGCAATAAGCGAAAGGAAGAAGACGCTGAAGAAACTGGGAATCATGCTGTGGGTTCTGATTTGCGTTTTCCGGCGATTTCTCCGCTCATATGAGTATTTACTGAGTACAAAATTCCCCTGCTTTTCCCCCGGCGGGGATTCGATCCTGGTGTAGTGGGAGGACAGTATGAAATGTAGACTTTTTTAGTACCCCGGAGTACAATTTTTAAAACATTAGCTTGTTATTAATTTGTTTATAATCACAGCTATTCGTTTTGTAACTTGAGCTATTGGATAAAAGGGAGTTAAGCTTTGGTTTTGGACTTCGTCTTTTATTAACATTAATGTTTTTTTAGTATTGTTAAAATAAAGTATGGTGCTATTATCACTAATGATAATATAGATGATTTTATATTCACACATATAATAAATATTTGTGAACAACATAGATTATTATTGTCTATGTAAGTATAAAAACATCTGCATTATTCTCATTCATGAAGGCATGTGTGGTGAGTTTGTAGCATTATCCTAAAATTAAACACTACTATTATATACTCCGTAATATTTTTGAAACGTTAACACTGAGTCAATGAATGACAAATTATTTTTCAAACGGCAGGAAATATATATCATAATTCGGCAAGGACCTTTTGACCCGATCCAATTTTGACATTGGGATTTTAGGGCACCTAAATTATTTCTCTGATAAATTTGATTGCTACTACCCCTAACCCCTTTCCCTCCCTGCATCCATTGTCCCACCCTAGATCATCGATTTGGTAGTGTCAAATTAGTGATCTAGGTTGTGGACAGAGGGTGTTGGGGTGGGTGCATGACAAGAGGGTTGGGAGTGAAAGCCATCAATTTTACCAATAGAATACTGCACAGATTGCGAGTCATAATATGACTTAAATTAATAAGGTCTAAATTATTGTTCTGACTATAATTATCAAATCACTCTGCTATATACAATGCAAAGTAAGGGTGAGAAACGCAAGTGGTGTAAGCTTGTGACACCAGTTGATTTCAGATACATACGGTGCTCTGTTTGTAAAACTGAGTGTTCTTACTCTCCCTAACGCCCCCTCTAAACCCCCGACCTATCCATTTCACCCCGTCCCCACCTCAACCCACCCCATGTACCCCCACCCCAAATCAACTGTCACTGGTGTCACACATTGGTGTCATTTTTGTTAGTGTAAGATTTTATATATATATATATATATATAGACACACACCCCCCCTCGGCTAAAAAAATATTTTGACTTCTTAATTAAAAATTAAGAAAAATTGATGAAAAATGAAAAGTATGTTAATGAAAACTATTTGAAAAAGAAAGAAAAACAATCATGGTCAGCTCTGAAGATTCGATGGCCCTGGCCGAGAAAAAAAATATGTACATTGATCTGAACAAATTAAGTTATATAAATTATCTTCTTTAAAAAAATAATAATTAATTTAAGTGTAATACACATAATAAAATTATAATTTTATAATTAAATATCATAATAGCTACCTTAAAAATTATATTTTTGATTTTTTTATTAATTAAAATATACTCCCTTCTTCCCCTATTTCGGTTTACGATATTTGACTTAAGTTATTTTTAAATCATTTTACATGAAAAATAATGTAGAATTTAAAAAATAAAAGTTACATATTTAAAAACTACATCAAAAGATTTTTATATTAGTGGTGACATGATTACATTATGTTATCAAATAACTAACGAAAATAGGGAAACAGAGTGAGTGAAATTTGACCCCGTGAATAATAAATAGACCATTTAATTAACTTGGGACGGGTGGAGTATATAATATATACTTCATTTGTCCCTTTAACTTCTTTCCATTTTTATTTTTAGAAAAATTAAGAGGAAGATATTTTTGTGTTGACTTTCTAAAAACACTCTGGTCTTTATGTGATGACTAAAAGTATGAGGTGATGGGTATATTACTGGTAAAAAATATGATATGATAGGTAGGGATAAAAGTGGGTTTTTAATAGAAAAGAGAAAGACTTTGTGAGACAAAGAAAAAAAGAAAGAAGGAGAAGTTTATGGGAGGGAAGGAGTATATATTAAAAAAATAAAAATATTGAGCCCCCAAAAATGGTTCTGGACGGATAGGACACCTTCGCTCACTCTAGTGCGGGAGAAAGATATGAGACAGTGGAAATATTTTTTTATTAAAAAAGTAATCGAGTTGAGAAGTATAATGTTGATATTCAAATGACTATAAGAACATGTAATGTACAGTTCATTTACCAAAGGAGTATATTGTACTCCGTAGGGGTACACCAAATGTGTACCCCATTTGTCTCCCACCCCTCCTTATCGATAAAAAAAACAAGAAATTCAAAAAAAAATAAAATAAAAATGTGTGGTAAAAAAAGAGGTGGTGTACATTTGGGGTACACCTTTCGTGTACCCCTAGCATATGTATGTATATGCGTTGATTTATAATAAGTAAGTTGATGACTGTTTTCCATATGCTTATAAACTGGGTTATAACAAGCTCTTTATTAAGTCAATAAAATAAATAAGTTTACTTTTTTATTTTGCATGTCTAAAAGTAAAATGTATAGATATAATAATTAAATTAAGTTTTAAAAAATAGTTTGTTTAAGTTATTTGAATATTTGTTTGATATGAAATTTATTGTTTTTAAATTTTATTTTAAAATAATTTTGAGGTCGCAGCCTCTAGACTAAGGCCGTCATGTAGATTCAAGGAGCTTGAACAAGACGAAAAAAGACCGGCCCTAGTCCTAGCTGACAATTAAAACTAAGTAATGTTATGGTAATAAACATAACAAAATCATACTATTATAACACATTTATTTTTTAAAAAGGTTTTGTATATATTTTTTAAAAAAATTAGTCGTATAATATGCTCGGGATACCAGAAAATAATGGAGAAAGAGTATTTATATCCTGGAGTAAAATATCTTCACATGAGTGATTTTATTAAATCCATGGATTTAATATTATTTTGAATATCTCTAGATTTTTTTTTGAATTCTAAAAGTCTATTTTGAATACGGCGAGACTTTCGTTGAATTTATAATGACTTTTTAAAATCCAAATTGAATACACCTAGATTTTTGTAGATTTTAAAAAGTTACAATTGAATACACTTAAACTTTCAAATTCCACTGATTTCTATTTAAATGAATAAGAATCCTTATTCAAATAAACTCCCTAAGTAATTAACTGATACTCATATAATTATGTTCTTGCGTCCGCCCGGCCCGGCTGACCTCTCAGCTCGCTCTCCCAAAACAATTGAAGCTTGAGTTTCACATCTCTCATATATTGGTAACCACCATGAAATAATGTGGTATTGGTATAATTATTGGTGAGGTTTTAGAACCATCCATTTAATTCATAATTAAACATGATTAAAGATTTTTGTATTGCCCATTTTTCGGTCTTTTCCTCCTCCAACAAACCCCATATTAACCATAAGTTAATTATGACTATATTCTATTGTTAGCCCTTCAAGTTAATGTATTATATACGTTTAATCTTTTAATTTTTAAAAATCTATGAATAGCCTTTTAAGTCATGATAGTGTTGCACATTTGGTCATCCCGTATTAATCTATGTGTTTGTTCCATTTTTATTACAAATACATGTAAGAAATTCTCTTTTTTTCTTACTATTAAGACATATTTCATATAAGTCCATTTTTAATAATAATAATGACTTACTCTTATTTTTATTATATCCATTTTTCATTAAAAGAAGTCACTCTTACTTTTATCGGTTTACATTTTTTAAATACTTTTTTCGTCCTAAAGTGTGTCAAATTTTGTTTTTTTAATTAAAACATCAATACAATTTTAATTGATGATATACGTTAGACATAAACCCTAATTGATTGTAAAGGGTCAAAACTTTACAACTACATTAGTACCAAGATTGATTAACCTTTGATGTATAATTTTAACTTAAATTGAATTGGAAAAAAATATCACTCTATTTTATGAAAAACCAAAAATTTGACACACACTTTAGGATAGAATGATTTTTTTTTATTTTAAAAACTTAGACCTATAAAAATATGATCGAGTAACTTCTTACTATCAAAAAAATTTGAAAAATAAAAGTTAAAAGTATTTTATTATTATTACAAAATGGACATATGTGAAACATAACTTATTTATGTGAAAAAAGTATTCCCCACGTGTATTTATAATGAAAAATGAAAAATACTCCATATATGGACTAACGGTAAAGTTAACATAAAGATTAGACCAACTGCGCAACGCTATCGTTACTTGAAGAACAAAACGTAGACTTTTAGAAATACATTAACTTGAAGGACTAACAATGCAATTTAGCCCTTAATTATTTGTCTTAATTAATCAACAAACCTAAAGTTTTTAACACTGTACGCTTACCTATATCTTATACTCCCTCCGTCCCATGAAACATGAGACATTTTCTTTTTAGGAGGGATTTAAGGGAGTGTATTTTGGTATTGAATTTCCAAAAATGTCCTTTGATGTGATGGGTAAAGTATAATTTGATGGATAGATTATTAGTAAAAAGGTATGATGTGATAGTTAGGGTATGAAAAAGTAAGGGGTAAAAGTGACTTTTTAATAGAAATGAGAAGTGTTTTGTGGGACGGATAAAAAACGAAAGGGGAAATGTTTCACGGGACGGAGGGAGTAGTATTTTTCCATATTATTTAACTTAATTAGAATCAACATTAATAAAAATTTGACCAGTATTCTTTAACTAAAAAATACTCCCTCCGTCCCAAAAAGATTTACACGTTTCAAAAAAATTGTTTCCCACAATCCCTTACTCATTTCTATTAAAAAACCACTTTTATCTCTTACTTTTTCAAACCCTACCTATTACATCATACCTTTTTCCTAATACTCTACATATCACATTCTACTTTTACCCATCACATCAAGGGTATTTTTGGAAAGTCAACACAAAATTATCCCTCCCTTAATTTCAACTTTAGTCAAAATGGGTAACACTTTATGGGACGGAGGGAGTATATCAAATGATAATTAGAATTGTTTAATAAATGATATTTATGTTTGACGTTAAGTTTAATGTTTTTTACAAATGCTATCCAACAATAATATTATTGTTTTTAAAAGTCAATTAATTAGAAATTTGTACTCTGAAAAGATTATATTGAAAAAATGATTTTTTGACCTAATTGACACCTCGCGTCATATTATGACCCAAGACCCTTTCGGTGTTCT